AAATTTAAATCACAGCTCAAAGACTGAACACACAAAATGTAGTTAAGAATGCCATAACCTTCTCCCAGGCCTTCTTTCTTAAAACATCTCCTGTCTCACTCCGCTTTTCACTCCATCAGTGTATAACTATGGAGCGCTGCTATGTGACACAGATCGTTTCAGTTCCACTCATATATTCAACATACCATCTGATTTTTAACTCAAAAGCTCTTTTTAGTCTGCTTCCCAATTTTAGCTATCATACTCTTTCAAAATTGCTATGCTTCCCTCCGGTATTTATAGTGCCATTACTAGTCATCATGAGGCCATCTGCACAGTGTCACTGCACAATGACATGCGGGTTTTGTTCAAACCCTAAGACATTGCATCCTGCAGAATGGATATTAATGCTACCAAATCCATCATCAACCATCCCAAACAACAGCTTTTGTAACAGCTATTGTATCTGCACAACACCAGGAAGAGAGGGTATAGTCTATTATTAGGAGGAACTGCCCATTACAATAGAATTACGATGCTATAAACATAAAGCAGATTTCTTTTTCTCTCCTTTTAATGTTATACTTTGTAGTCTCGGAAATAAAATCCCCACACAGAGGTAGTTACAGTTCAGGCATGTAGTATGATTTCAAGGCCTATGAACATCTCCTGTGAGCTCTTGGCTACATATTACCTATTTAGCTTAAGGAGATGTTTTCCAGCAGTGATAGTGTATCTGAATTGCACTCGCAAGCAATTGCACCTGAAAAGAAGCTTAATCTTCTGTTTATTTTTTTAATTGGTTATTTTTTGGTTGGCTTATGTATTCTAAAATTATCCCTGGCTAATTTGGTTGTATCTTCAAAAGTGGACCACTGATTCAAGCATTTGCCCAGCATATAAATGCTAATTAAAATTCAGCTGGTATAAAATGGATTTTATATACCATAAGATAACCTCTGAGATAGCTTCAAGTCATTACAGATCTAGATAGATCAAAAATAAATGTGAGGTGGTCCAGGTGACCTGTGACTCATTTCATGACTGATGTTGTGTATTTTAACCCAAGAACACAGACACATGCTATTTTCCTCTTAAATATGGAGGTACAGCCTTCAAGTGTACTAGGGAGTCTTTTCTCACAGGTTGTTTAAACGTCCAAAGTCTCTCCCTTCATCTCTCATTTTTGCATTTGTGATGCAGCCATTTGTGAACACGATGACACTACAGTGCAGGCTTGTGATGACACAATTAGAACTTGGCCTCACAGCTGGGGGATAATGTCTAGTGGCTGGGATTCCACTACACTTCACGCTACTGGGAGTGAGGAAACTCAATGCCACTGATATTCAGAATTTTTAAAAGAAGCCACAAACCCTGTTTTTACCCATTTTTAAAATTTTGATATATTGTACTATTTTAAGTTTTAATGCTAGCGCTTGTGAGATGAACATAGCGACCGGCTGGACTTGAGCAAGGACATTTGTGTTCTGCTGGTTCCCCTGGAATCATTCACGTCCATGTGGTTGTGAGGCGGGTGGGGGAAGGGAACATCCCTGCAGGTGTAGTAAGGGGTTCCCACCAGGAGGCTGTGTCCCTGGAGACAAATTCTTCTGGCTTTATTATTTTGATCAACATGTCTCACCTCCAGTCAGCAAAAAGTTGTTTTTACTACCGTAGAATGACTAATTCAAAATATAAATACTCTGTAGCCCTCCCTGGTGGCACAAGGATTAAATTGCACCACTATGAAGCTATCCACAGTCGCTGCAGCTCAAGTTCCATCCCCAACCAGCAAAGTGACCCACATGGTGCAGCAGACCTCTCCTGTCTTGCCCACTGCTCCCCTCAGCAGTGTATTTTGTTTGATCTGCCTGTTTTGCTCCCCACTCTGTCTCTGGTGAATTCTCTCTCTCACACACACACACACCCCAACAACTGTGGCCCCAGTTTTTGTATGCATAAATAAATAAATCTTAAACAAATAAAATTAATTAGTTAATTAAAAAATATATGTTCACACTTTGGAAAACAAGGAGTTGAGAAAGAAATGGTCTTTTGGGCACACATGGTTTAGAATTTTTAATCCAGCAACCAGCAAATTTAGAATTTAAAAGGTCATGCTATAAACTTAAAAATGAGTTAGCTGTGGTTGTAGGCTCCTGATCATTTCTTTGACTTATACTTGCCCTGTATCACTCTTTTTTTTTTAACAATGTGAATTAAAAATAATGTGTTATTCAAGAGACATTGATATATCATTATATTGTATTTTTATTAAAAATGTTGCAACTCAGGGCCACAAGTCATGGTGTTACACTTCTCGAGTCTAATATCACAGTTTTGACCTCTGGCATGGATGACATCTGTGAATTTGTCTTAAAATCATCAGGAAATAAAGCAGTATGTTCAGTGAGTGGTAACATCTGTCAGACATTTTCCTAATATTTGTCTAGAGTTAAAATAGGCAAAGAAAAATAACAGAAACAGCAAAAAAAAAAAAAAAAAAAATAATCAGTACACCGTCTCATTCCTACCTCAGGGGAAAAAAAAAAAAGAG